AAAACCCTTTTTTTTGACACATTCCTATTTACATATTTTGGAACCATACAGAGTTCTAATACGGCCTCACACTACTAAACCCTGATCTTTCACTTCATGAGATCTGCAGTTTGTTACGTAAAGCTAATTGTCAGTAAACCAAACGCAGTGAACATTCTCGAGTACCTGCAACAACCTGCAAAGGCAATCAATCTAAAGGACAATACTATAACGCTAGCCATAAAAAGAACAAAAGCTTATTACTGCACTTTGAAACGTTAGACATAAAACTTTATCGTACAGCTTGAATGTTCTACAATTGGGTCCCAAAGTTGCGAAGATATCTTTGCGAGCACATACTTTAACAAAACTTCAGAAAACCTATGCGTGGGTAACAATGTCGTCGTGGGTGTAAGATTTCAGAATTGCAAAGTGAGCTGTGGGCAGGTGAGAAGAATGAGAAACACAGCGAAGGCTTTCTGGCTTCGTGGGCCAACTGATAATTAAAGAGGAAAGTGGGAGTTGTTCATCTTCAGAGACGAGACACAAGACAATCAACCGTAAGGCAGGCAGAAGAGACAGAGCCTGCGCACCGTGAAGAAGACCAGCGAGGATTTAACATAAGCCGTATAAGCTCGGTTTAGATTGACAGGGGGGCTGTATGTACAGTAAGTAAGCTAAACTGTATTGGACACAGTGAGCAAAGGAGCTGGTGGGGTTCGTTTACACAGAGCCGGTTCCCCGTCGGCTTCGTCTGGGCCCCTTTGACTCAGCGGGTCGGGGGGCAGAACGGCAGCCCGGGCCGCTCGATCCCCGCGACCAAGACGCAGCGGTTCATCGGTGCTTTCATATGTGGAGACGGTCATTCTACAATTATACAAACCAGTTGATTGATGACTTTTACATTGTGCATTGGGTTAAAGTCAAGGGGGTCCAGGCCGGCATAAATCCATTCAATCATCTGAACAAGTGTCTCTCAAATAATTATTGTATAAATGGTTGCGAAATATGCAAGAAGGTTTTCCGCCTTCAATCATTTTTATTCTGCATTAAAGCCTGTCTGAGCTGTACAAAGAAACTGATCTCAATCTTACCTGACCTTCACCTGTAGCCTTACGGTGGCCTCATTGGTCTGATGATCCGCCAACTGTCCACTGTTTTTTATCGGCAGTGACATTGTCAGGCGTAGTTGTTCATTGCTGTGGAGGCAGAACTGTACTAACTGTAGTGTGAGCTACTTTAGTCCTGTCCACTTTCTCACGCACGGAAGCAACAGGAACAGGAGGTCACAAGGTGCAGGGAGGACCGAAACATGATAAACTCTTTGTGTCAGTCAGACCGGCTCTGGAATGAAGGGGAGGATCGAGTGTGGGGGGGGGGGGCAAGTGGAGAGGGTGAGAAAGGAGGTAGGAAACAGAGGGGGACGGGTAGGGACGCAGGTGGAGACGGCCGAGTGGGAAGAGACGGCAAGAGTAAGATAAAGGATGAGATCGGGAGACGTGCACATGGGCGAGGAGCCTTTAAAATAGAGCTGACAGACGTGAGGACAGACGTGAGGACAAAGTGACTCCCCAGCATGAAGGAACTCTCCATACTTTCATCTGTAAACCCTTCATAGCTCTGCTCCGACAAGTCTGAGCGACACTGATTGGTCATAATGACCATCGGGGATTGGGATTCCGGGTAATATGACAATGATGATGGAAAGCGTCTGAAGGACGTCTGTGTCTCCAACACATCTGCAGTGGTTATCAACAGACAGATCTGAGGGTCAGGGGAGGTCCAGGGCGTGAGGACAAGTTGAGTCACATGCAGACGGGGGAGTGTGTGTCTCTTCTATTTGCGTCCCTTTGAGTTGGAGGACATTTGGCGGAGCATTTAGCAGCCGTGAACTAGATAGTCCCCTCAGGAGTTGGATGGGGAGGGAATGAGTACTCGTGAATATTCCACTTACGCTCGCCAAGTGGACGGAAACACAACTCAAATAAACGCTCAGGAGTCTCGTGTTTCTGTGTGTTGACTTTTAACCGATTTGGAAATCATTGAATCCAAGAGTATCGGAATTAGACTAAAGCTCCTTTCAAGATTTGTTTGGTTTTACAATTATTTTGTACTGTGATCTCACCGAAGCTCGTTTCTTCACTGATAAACAGAAGTTACAATAGATTGGAATGCACAGGAGTGATGTAGAGACGCCAAATGCAGCTCTGGTAGCAGCAGTGACCTGTCAATCAAAGCAAGCTGCCATCTGACCTCTTTTTGCAACGAGTGGCGTCGCCCCCTGATGGTCAGTTGAGAGAATGCAGTTTTTAAGACACTTTCTTGGAAAAAACGAGGTTGCTGCCTGTTTGTCGTCTGAGCCACAACCTCAAACTTTACTAACCGTTCAATTGTTGAGCCCACGGAGACCAGCTCCACATCATTTGTTCTTACCTTTCACAATACAAAGGTTAATTTATCAGACGCTGCCTAAAGTCAAGGGGATCCAGGCCGGCATAAATCCATTCAATCATCTGATTGAACAAGTGTCTCTCAAATAATTATTGTATAAATGGTTGCAAAATATGCGGGAAAGTTTACCGCCGTCATTTTTATTCTCAAGGGCTTTAGAATTCTGCATTAAAGCCTGTTTAACCTCCATAAGTTATATACAATATATTAACTTTGATACAAATTACTCGTTACAAATTATTCATTGTAGTGATACACGCAGCCTCTTTTTAGCTTCATGTTCTAGTCTTCAAGAAAGGAATAGATATAACCGAAGGTGGTTTTTCACACAAACGTGTGTGTTGTGTGTGTTGTGTGTGTTGCTTGCTGTGGAGTTACAATGGCAGCCATTGTTAAAACATGCAGTTATCCTGAACCGATCTGGCCTTTTCACCAGGGTACAATTTCACTTGAATGTAGCACAGAAATAATAATAATTGGGTTTGAGATATTGATCTTGAAACTCAAACAACTTCCCGGATATTTGATTGATAATATTTTTGGATCAATCTTTTATCAGTTTTTCCTTGCAGACAAAAACTGTATACATGTGTGCGTCAACGGCTGAAGTCATTTCCTTCGTGCTTTCTCAGGAACTGGTGCGCCTACGTGGTGACGCGCACCGTCAGCTGTGTGATGGAGGACGGAGTGGAGACCTACGTCAAACCGGACTATCAGCGCTGTACCTGGGGCCAATGTCCCAGGGTTGCGTGAGTATCCAACGTCCTGCTAGTGTCCTCTGTTCAGTCCGTCTCTCCTGTCCGTGGATTCCCAATGCACTCAGCTCCTTTCCTGACCCCCGGGGTCCAACGTTACAAGTATCGGTGTACATTTACTAAAGATGTGACGGATGGAACGATCTAAAACAAAAAAAATAGTTTTGCACCACCCGGCTGCCTGACCCCCCCCATGCCTGGCGCTGGGGCCTCGGCCCTAAACCTGGGCTATGCTAAGAATGGAGCTGACAGGGGTTCCAAGCACCGCAGTCTGGTGTAACAGCCTGTAAAAACAACCCCTTCTTCTCCGTCTTTCTCTTTACGACTCCTCCTTTCTTACTCCTTCTCCAACTCCTCCTCCTGCCCTGTTTTCTTTTCCACTCACAGAATTCCTTTTTCTCACGGTCCCAGACCAAAGAGCTGGAATATGAAGCATTAAATGTGGCGTTGAAAAAGTCCCCCTTGATACCTGGAGTGATGCTTGTGGGTTGGCACGGAGGAGAATTCTTCACGCTCCCATAAATCTTTAGTGAGACTTCTGGCCAATCCTGGTTTATTATTGCATTGTTACTGTAACAGGGAGTCTCTTCAGTCGCAGGATGAAAGGAAGCATTAATGATGAAACTATCCAAATAAAGAAGTCACATTTTTTCAGACGTCCATGAGCAGCAGATTAAGATTTAGCACCGGCTGAATGCAGTTTTGGAGAAAGGGAAAGAATAACATTGGGTAGTTTACAAAGAGCCCTTATTCACATCCATCATCAGTATGCGATTTGAAGCTATTTATGCATCTGCAGTGTAGAGCGGCGGTGTTCAATGGATGGTTCAGGGACCTTGAGTGGGCTATCAGGGTTTCAATGTCAGATAGAAGACAGGCTTGTGTGCCAAATAACTGCATTTTGCACGTGCCTTGAAGCTAAATGTTAACCAATGAGAATGCTTAAATACTAATAGTGAATAAGGTCTACCAGGACCCCGTCTTTGTTCAAAGAAAAGAACAGGAGAGTATGTAGACATATGCAGGAACTGGGTCATGGACCAAAGGAAATACGATTTTTGAATCAACAGATCAATAACATTGAGCTTCTCGTCAAAGAGTCACGAAAAGCACCACTTTAAATATTGTGTCCACAAAGGTTGTTGGAAGTAAGACATTCAGCATGCACATTTTGAGCATGAAAAGCTAATATTTAAATAATCAAATCTTAGTTGGCTTAGAGAAAAACAACGCATTAGTCCACTAATCACTTAGGATTCACCCAGTTGGGATCATGCATTTATGTATAAAGTCTCATGTTGATCCATCCAACTGTTGAAGAAATATTTAAATTTGGACCAAAGTGGTCGGCCGACCAAATGTCATACCAACAAAGCCGTACTCAGTTTTCCCATCAATTCAGAACAAAGGAAAGGTCCGATGAGAATTTAGAGCAGACGTTTCTGTCTCCGCCCTCAGCTACCGGACATACAGGAGGCCCAGGTATAAGGTAGCTTACAAGATGGTGACGGAAATGGAGTGGAAGTGTTGCCACGGTTACTCTGGAGAAGACTGTCAAGATGTGCCGAAGGGAACCAGCAACACCCAGACCAGCGCCGGGCGACCCCGGGTCCCGCAGACGGGCTTCAACACAGGCGTCGGGCAGAGAGGAGAAGGCACAGACGGTGAGAATCGCATCTACTTAAGTCGCATGTCGTCAGAGCCATTTATTTAGTGAAAACTACCATGATTTCTTACATGCTTATTGCCAGTCTAAAGCCTGAATCAAACAAATCCAATCAAATGTATATTAATGTATAATGATTAAAATATTTAATCACGATTAATCGCATTGATGTCATAGTTAACTCAAAACTAATCACAATTAATCACACATTTTTATCTATTCTAAATGTCCCTCCATTTATTTTTTTTCAATCGTTTTTTTAGAATTTTAATGCTCTTGTCAACTTTGAAAAGTGGATTGCCTTGCTTTATGCAATTATTTTATTGAAAAACAACATTGCCAAACAGGGCGGCACAAAATAAAAGTTTCCATTTCAGGTAAAAGGTTAGGGTTTTGTATATACTTGGAAATGATTTGCCTGAAAAAAAAGATTTACATGTCAATGTAAATTAATTTGATATACGATCATATGTTGGTATGCTGGTGGGAGATTTTACTGAGAGTTTTTCTTTTCTACATCTTTTGTGATTGACATTTGTAGGACTGTCGCTCAACACTCTGTCCTGATAAAAAGTCACAAACTGCTTGACTAGAGCAGAAGCAGACCATAAAAGAAAGCACAGGGAAGTAAAGTACACAATAAAAATAGATTTAAAAGCAGGCCATGGAGCATTAAATTACCCAAACGCCATGGAAGCAGGTGTGTCTGGTGGGCTTTTAAACACCACCATAGTCAGTGGGCCTCAGAAGCTGGCTCACCTCGAGTCCTGAGGGCGGCTGACAGTAGATTAACAGGTTTGACCTAAAACTGCTGGAAAGAAGGGAGAAGTAAGTCAGGACTCGGGCCGTGAGTATGTGTCTTACTTCAATACAAGGAGCAAAATTACCGGTTCAAGCAGATTTGGGGGCAGCTATACGGAACATATCATGTAATATGCTCACTTCCCTTAAAGCCCTGACAACCACCTCTTGTTTTTCTCTACAAAATGAATTATATTCATGACTAAATAAGCAACATTGAAAGTTCTCCTCATGTATTTCCATGGCCTGTAACGACTGCCGATACATATCAACGGTTCTGTTCTTTAGAGATTAAAAACCTTTGAACCGACCACATTTCCTCTGTCATATTGGCTGCAGGTGACGGTGAGAAGATCAGACAGCTGGAGGAAACGATCCGGGGTCTGAGCAAAGACCTCCACAACATGCAGACCACCCTCCACGGCATTAACCAGCGGCTGTACGTCAACGCCGTTTCCAGCACGCCACCAGGGATGTATCCACCTGCTGCTTCATCTTCCACCTGACTCTTCCTACTCTTCCTGTTTTTCTGTGTAGACCTGGTCTGAATGGGGCTTTTGTCCCTGCTGACTCAGCTCAGCCCCACATGAAGGAAACCATCAACAGCATCCAGACCAAGCTGGACCATCTCTACAACCAGACACAGGTAAAGCAGTTTCTCCATACCTACAGTTCAACTGTAAAAGGAAGCCTTTTAAAAAACTTTACCTGGATATTTGACTTGCTCAGGTCCATGACCGGACTCTTCTCAACATTAACAACCACCTGGTGAACGGAGGGGGCAACGAGTTGGACGGAGTGGCCAGGGGAGGAGGAGAAGAAGGAGGAGGGGACAAACTCACCACCCTCAAGGAGGCAATCCTGACGGAGCTGGAGAGAAGGGTGTCGCTGTCCTGCTCCTCCTGCCAGGTGAAGCTCACTATGTGAACAAACCACAACTCACACCTGAGACACACCTTATGATGTCTGCAGCCTGATGCAGCAAAATAAATAAAAGCCACATCCAGGCAGTAAGACAAGACAATTGCATTTTCACATAATCTACTGCACTTTCCAAAAGACTTTTGAAAGAATGGCAGGGTTATGATGTACCATAAAACATTCATTTTGTGGCGGAATTAGGTGTTAATTTACCTGTACATTTCACACCCTGGTGCTAACAGTTCATCCGCATCTTCTAAACATTCGGTTGCTATTACGGGCTGAAAACTATACCTGAGCTGCAGTATTAGTACGCTTCATATTCAGTATCCCATTAAACCCCCAGGTCAGATGCAGACTGGGAGATTTCCCTTATTTTGCAAAACTCATAAGTAAAAGTAAAATTAAGAAGCCAAGCGATCACATAGTTCTGGTTTAAAATGCCTAACTACGTAATCAATACAAACTATGGAACCAGTTAATGAATTCCAGTCCTTGTAATCCCTGTTCCCTCCAGGCTGGTGTGGAGGACCTCAGGCGCCAGCAGCAGGTGGACAGGGAGCGCATCCAAGGTCTGGAGAAGCGGATCAGCAGTGAGACCCAGCGCTCCCAGGCCTGCTATAACACCGTCACCGAGCTGGAGAAGAGGCTGTCCTCCCTGGAGGTCCGAGTCACCTCCACGGCCGACAAGTGCGACGCTGTGAGAGGCCGGCTGGACAAGGAGCTGGTCGGGACGGGCGGGGGGAAGGGACGAGTGACAGAGGACAGGTTGAACACCAGGCTGAGAGATCTGGAGAAGAGGGTGAACAACACGTTGAGGAAGACGGAGCAGAGGTGCACCAACACGGGGAACAACATGAAGGACAACGTCCAGAGGGACGTCACACAGTTGCGCAACATGGTCCTAAGCCAGCTCGACACCCAAAGCTCAAAGATCAGCCAGCTGGAGCTGGACGTGGCCGTCCTCGGAGACACGGTCACCGACCACAGCCGGCGTTTGAGTAGTCTGGAGAACATCACGGCCTTCCTGGACAGAAGGCTAACGTCCACCACAAACATGTGCAACGAGACCTGTGGGCCCAACCGGAAAGGCCACAAAACTGACGAGACTGTGAAAAGCCTGGAGTGGAGAGTGGTGACCAACCAGGACAACATCCAGAGTTTTAACACCAGGCTGAACGACCTGTCCGTGTCAGGGGACTCGCTGAGGGACAGAGTCATCAACCTAGCAGACGACATCAAAAAGATAATAGCTGTGACGGGGGAGAGCGGCGAGCATTTCAACCGGATCGCCACAGAGGTCGAAACGTTGGGTCGTGATCTGGAGGACTGTTCCATTTGCGGCAGCGTGGAGGAGGACCTGCGCTCACTCGCCAACTCCACCACAAGCCGCCTCGACAAGTGCCAGACCGAACTGACCGATCTGCGGAGAAAGGTGCACTCGGGGGAGTCGGCTTGCTCTCAGGTGTGCTCAAACCTTCAGGAGGAGGTCGGGCGACTCAGAGAGGACGTAGAGGAGTGCACAACGCAGTGTAAGGTCAACGTAAACGATCTGAAGAAACGGCTGGACGGTCACGGCGTCCATAGCAGTAGATTGGGGGGGGATCTGAAGTCCATCCAAGGGCAGCTTGCCGGGGTCATGATCACATTTAGCTCCATCAATGACACCCTGAAGGGCCTGGGGGGGGCTGTGCAGACCCATGAGAACGCGCTGACTGATCTGAGCAACACCAAGGACAGCATCATCTCTGAGGTAAGACGATGTGGCGATAATGACGATCATGTTACTGCCACTAAAAAAATACAAGCAAATACTGAGAGACGTTTATTGTTGATAGAACATTGTCAAAAGAAACTCATCCAAAGTACACAGATTAACAAAGGTCCCTGATCTCTACAAGGTGGACATTTTGCGGAGGGGGCTGACGGATCACGTCGATGACTCGAAGATTCAGTTCAACAACGTGGGCAAAGAGATCCAAATTATGAGGAACAACTATGTGACGGAGGTCATGGAGTGCCGGCGGTCCAGCGACGGCCTAGAAAAGAGAATCTCAAAGTTGGAAGGAGTGTGTGGACGTCTGGACTCCTTCTCAGACGGCCTGAAGAGGATCAGGGAGGGTCTGAACCGACACGTGTCCGGCCTGTGGAGCTGCGTTAATGGACTCAATGTCACTGTAACGTCTCAGGGAGATCTTATCGCTGACATCCAGAACGTCCAGCTGGAGAGAGTCCACTCCGACATACACAGACTGAACGGGTCAGTGGTGGACCTGGTGGAGGACTTCAACAATTTCATAGAGCAGGACTACACGGGTGAGTCGCGGGGCGCGGGAATCTGAATTTTGGACAAGAGACAGCGGCCAGTCGAAAGGGAGGCAGGGTCAGGGTGAGGAACAGATGGACCAGAGAAAGAATCCCGGCTGTCACCCTGAGAAGCATTCTCTTAAAGTCTGCAATCTGTCGGAAAGAGGAGTTCCAGTAAACATGAGGGTGAAAGGAACGCCGGGTTAAACGTCTCAGCTCTTTTGGCTTGTTTTTAACATTCTCCTATGAAAGAAACTGGTTTGGTTCCCAGCTGTGATGTTTCATCAGATATTCGTCTGCCCCAGGTCCACCTGGTCTACCAGGCCCTAGGGGAGAGCGAGGCGAGCGTGGAACCCAGGGTCCTGTCGGACCCCAAGGGAGGGTGGGACCCCAGGGCAGCGAGGGCATACAGGGCCTCATTGGAACTCCAGGTAAAGTAAAACTGTGCGACATATTTTGGGATTAAAACCCCAGCAAGTTTGACTTTGTTGGAGGATTAACTCACAGTTGTTTTGTCTGCTCTGACTCCTCAGGTCTCAGAGGCGAACAGGGTAGGAGTTATTCTTTCTAAACAGCAGATGAAAGCACTCCTTACTGTTAGATCTTGCCTTTGGTGCTAACTCCTACCCGTCTCCCCACCCCCCTTCCCTGCCTCAATCAGGTCCTGCCGGGTCCGATGCCCACGTGCCTCGCCTTTCTTTCTCCGCCGCACTGACCCGCCCCATGAGAAGCGCAGGAACGATAGTGTTCAACGAGGTCTTTGTCAACGAAAATGAGGTCTACGATCCCAAAACAGGTGAGCTTCAGACTGAAGAGGTGTGAGAACAGAGCTCTCTTTTTATAAGATTATTTATTTAAAATAAACCCATTTTACAAAAAATCAGAGCCATTTCGACGTATTTTTGTCAGTATCCAACACTGAAATCATATACAGTAAATGCATTTAAATTGCATTTTGTAGTCTAGTCTAGTATAATTTAATGTGAAAGCTTCACCAACACATAGAACAAAACGTTAAAATCTCTTTTAAGAGATCTCTTTTGGTGTTAACCAAAGACTTTATTTCATGTATTCAACCCAAAACGCATTGAAAAAGCTCCCTGTTTGGGTTCACCAAAGGTTCTGCCCCACCCGGCTGTGTCAATGATGTGAGCACCTCAAACACAATTCTACCGCCTCCCTGCATTGAAACCTAAATCATATGTTTGTGGGATGACCTGAGCTTCTAAAATAGTGGTGTGTTGGTATTGTTATCGCCATCCAACAGGTTGTATTTAAGCAAAGTTACTCAGCAAATGGGAATCTAAGGAATAAGGGAGTCCGAGATACAAAATATGAAGTCCTCCATGTCTTCTCCTTCTATCCTCCAGGTTATTTCACAGCTCCAGTGAGTGGGAAGTACTTCTTCAGCGGCATCCTGACGGGCCATAAGAACATGAAGATCGAGGCGGTGCTGTCCAAGTCCAACACGGGCGTGGCCCGAGTGGACTCGGCTGGCTACCAGCCCGAAGGCCTGGAGAAGCCGATGGCGGAGGCCAAGCACATCCCCGGAGCCGTGGCCGTCTTCAACATCATCCTGCCCATGGAGGCCGGGGACACAGTCTGCATTGACCTCGTCACCGGCAAGCTGGCTTTCTCTTCGGAACCGCTGACCATCTTCAGTGGGATGCTGCTGTACGAGACCATCTGATCGCTGAAATCGGTTGGCTGGACTGGAAGAGACAGAAATCACTGGACTGGATTCATTCAGCAAGGACAAAAATACTTCACGCTTACTAATAGATTTGACCTCATGTGTTAAATCCAAAGGACAAAAAAGTCATTTTTTCAGGATGTGTTTTTTTTATGTGATTCACAGCTTTGAGGAAAAGAATTTGTACCAATGTATTTTATTCTACTGAAATCTCATGCTGTTCTGCAAACCTTAAATCCACACAGATTACAAGATTTCTTTTGTCAAGGAAAGGACATTTCCGATGATGATAAAATATTCAGCTTTCAAATGTGCAGGGGTAATTGCACACTATTTTCTTTTCTTCAAGCTCACAGTTTCGTTTTGACCGCAAGCAGATTCCCAGAAGCCGGCTGCTGCGTGCCAGTGGGCTTAGAGTCCAAACCACTGTTCTAAAATGAAGTCACTGACAGTTCAACTCAGAAACAACAGAACTTTATAAATCACACAGCAAAACAATGAGACCATTTTAGGACATCGGCTTTGCCCATAAAACACAAGGAGGGCAGGAGGGATTTTGTCTCCCTGTGTCCTAATAAGGGCCATCTAACGTTGGAGGAAGATCAACGAGTTAAAGTGATGAAGCTGTTCCTATCGTTCTATCTTACAGTGGAATTTTTGGGTAAAGCCTAAAATAACAAATAATGAAGCTGAACTTTTGTCTCTAAGCTACAAGTCCCATCTCGTTCACGAACACACACACACACACAGACGCACACTTCCTATCTTTAGAAGTCTACTTGAAATGGCTCCAGAAGAAGATTTGTGCATGATATCCAGTGTGTAGCTATTGTTGAAAGGAAAATTGCCAGTTTTCTGCAGAGGCGGCCACATGCTGCATTATATTGATATAATGATGGATGCAATACACTTTATATACACACAATACATTCATATCAGCATATAAGGATTTGATCCCAATGCATTGTTTTTACTTGCCTTTGTGGGAATGTCATTTTATATGTTTTATGTATTTTATAATCGTGAAGGAATGTAAATATTTCTCTGTGGTTTTGCCCACATAAGATTTTTACGAGGAACCACTTAACCTTGCCAGATATTGTATATGTTTTGTATGTCTTTTTTGCCACAAGTGTGCCTCAAATAGAGATAGAGACACTTTTACAAACCCTACGTCAGCATTCTTGCAGTTATGTGGATGGTGTCCCGCTTATCAAATGAGCCAGTTTGTGCACGTTGGCACACACTGTTTCACCCCAGTCAAACTCATTTTATCTGGCACTTTATTGGCTTTCCCAGATACACACAGCTGGGACTGCTTTGTATCTCTGGCCGAAACCCTGTCTCAAGTTTTCCTCTTGACTGCTGTGTGCTGGTTTTAGCGGAGGACTTCAAGGAGATGTGCTGCACTGCAGTGCCACCGGGTGTTCAGGGGGCTCAACCGCCGCAGCTCGCTTCACGGAGGGAGTATCACTTGTCTTTGCACATTCATTACTTATCAAGAGGTGGCTTGATGAACCCTTTCTGCACTCAAGTCATTCCACCGTGACTCACGCAGACAAAGTCATCCCCGAGACAATGTAACTGATCTACGCACTGGCGATCAGGGGCAAAGGAGCTGTAACTCTACCTGGGCTCATTAAGGAGGTACGGATGCATGATAAGCCGGGACAGATGTAGCCTTCATAGGGGAATCTCAGCTGGATCTGCATTATCAATCCTATCCAGTCTGAATGAACAATGCCATACGTTTTTGATATTTTTGATATCTACCAATTTGGATATCAGCTTTAAAATCCTTTAGTCAGATTTCTACAATCATTCAATCATGAATTAATTAATTTCAGATATCCAAAATCTCTCTCACTCTCTCTCTTATATATATTTATATATACATATTATAATACATTATCGTATAATATAAAATACAGTATAGTAAAAACGTGTGTAAAACGTAATTGCAGATATATACAATTATAACAATTAGTGGACAATTCGTATATTTTTTGTTGTGTTGGGTATTTAACAATAATAAGCAAAAATAGCTCACACTTCAGTTATCACCTGGATCGCAGATATATCTGCAATAAAAGTTTTTCTTAGTGAGAATACTATTATTCATATCGATTATGGTTGTTAAACATCAGTAAAGTGAAACAAAGTGAAAAACTAGGTTCTACATAAATGATCCGACAATTTTAAAGATGAAGCAGTTTTAATTATTTTGCTAAATTAGTCAGAATTACGTCATAGATGTGTCGAAAAAAGTCCGACTTGACGTGACGTAATGACGAAGTGTCAAGAGTTTATTCGTGTAAGATAAAAAACGAATCGGTCTACGTCATCGATGCAGATGCGGTGGTGCGAGTTAGTGGCACAAACATCTGATGGAGAATCGGAGGAAACCTCACTCCAGCATGTCGAGGAAATGCCATTTTAAGTACCGTTACCCTGTATTCCTTTGCTTGTGTTTAGTTCACCTGTTTGCGTGTACTTCTGCCTTTTCAACGTATAGATTTCAAAACGCACATGACACGCTTTGCGATAAGCTCAGTCAAAGCGTTTCCTCCGCGCGGTCGCGTTTGGAGCCGCAGCCTTCTTATTACCGAGCTCCTCAGCGGCACCTGAACGCAGCACCGGACGGCCCCAAAACACAGGTCGCGCTTCCCGGGATTTTCCCGCGTGCCGTTGCCATGGAGATGAGTTTGTCTCTTTCCCCCGGCTCACACGGAGTGAGTGGTTGTGCTTGAACGTCACGTTAAAACCCGGCGTGCCCGTGACTGCCGTCGCCGCCCCGACGAGCTTCGGAGCGGCCGAGTGTGAGCACCTTTAATTGAGGTTTCCCGCACCGGTAAGAAGCGAACGGAAGTCATCGCGTTTAAGCCCAAAGCGAGCTCGCGATGGCCGACGGGTGGTCGCTCCGCGGCGGCCTCCGCGTCGTCATTAGCAGCGCGTGGGAGGCACGTTCGGAGCAGTTATTGGTGTTTCCAGTGAGGGTGTAACGTTAAGCGGGGTCAAGGGGTCAGTGGCGGTCACGCGTTAGCTTGCTCTCAGCTAACGCTCGGCTAACTGTAACCTGACTTCACTCCTCTATACGTGTGACGTCACACCTCGCGCGGGGTAATGAGGCCACAACCAACAACACAAAGGTGTAAATAAAGAGCGCTTTGCTCGCTATAAAGCTCAATACCACATATGTGCTCTGTGATGATTGGACATTATTGTGTATGTTTAAACCTACACACACAGGTGTAATTGCTCAAAAATATATATTTGCTTCCATTGTATTACGTGTGTCGGAAACGCTCAGCAGCAAAGCCCTGGACCCCTGAAAGAGTTGAACGTGAATCGCAGCTGACTTCAGCCTGCAACCCGTGGCGTCCACCATCTATCACCTGCATGCGCGCCTACATGTGTCAGGAAGCTCTTTACCTCCCCCTTTAACCAGCCCTTCCGGCCCCGTGATGAGCTGCCGGGCGGCAGAGGGCCGCCTGCAGGTCCTTCAGATCTACCGCTTGCTGCAGTGCGTCCATGAAGGCAACAAGGAGCAGATAGAGAAGATGGTGAACCTCGCGGTGGAAAACCTCATCAACCTCACGGAGCCGCGAGGCGGCACGGGGGCTCTTCATGTGGCGGCGTCAGCTAACAATCGGGGTAACGATTGCCCCGTGTGATTACATGCTTTCTGTTTGTTGGGAGAACACGATGCATCACTGGCCTGCTGCACCAGATCAATCCTTCACAAATGAAGTCACATGTAGACAAGACCACTGCTCAAATGCTTTGTCTAAGACATCATGCAGTTCAATGAATGTACTGTGCTGTGTTTCCTTCCTTGACTCCTTCCAGACATGGTGAGCTTCCTTCTCTCTCTGGGAGCGCACCCTGACATCCAGGACGGGAACGGCCACACTCCGGCTATGTTAGCTGCTGAGCTGGGCAATGATTCCATAATGTCTCTGTTGGCCCAGCGCCACGCTGATATGGGCCTTCGAGACACTGAGGGGAAAGGTGAGCTGCTGTAGCAGGCTGGGCGATGCCATGTTGCCAGCATACGGCTCGATGCTGCCTCGTCCCTGCACACCGCTCCTTTAATACCTTTATTCATAGAGTAGCTCATTGAGATGATTCTTAACCAATACCAATTTGCGTGGAAAGGACAAATTACCACGGGTCACTAACAACTGCAGAGATGAAGTATTACACATATTGTGCCAATTAAATACAATTTGTGAGCTAAAACTAAATGGAAGGAATAAATAAATTGGCTGGGTTTTAATGAGGTCATTAATTCAATGTTCATCCAAAAATCTCATATTATATTATAACATGGAAAAAGATACAACTCTGAAACTGAAATAACAGGTTGGAGTGTTACTACACAACTGGGACTTCTTTCGGTTTATATATTGTCGATGTAATGCAGGCTGTTTAACAGTTGAATTCAATCGGAATAGCAACATTGGAAAATTTGCAAAGCTATATATTAACAAAGCTATTCGTTTATTTTTATGTCTAAATGTGCAGTTGCATAGAAATTCAAGGGAAGCATAGTGAATATTACCAAGGCATCATCATCAGGCCGCGTTGGCCAGCGAACCGATCCTGACATCACAGCTGACAGGCGCTTAGCATAATCACAGCCACGGTCATCTGTTTCTCTATTATCTGTCAAAGTGATCCGTGTAGTCTGAAGTACACCTTCAGTTAAAAAGGTTGGGATCTCCTGCTGTACCAACTGAAATAATAATATAGCCCATGTTTATTCATATATATGATGGATATACAGTCATTTGTGTGTGTGATGTCTTTTGTGAGGTAACAGTGTCCGTCTTAACTTCCACTAATGTATTCTCATCTGAGCTTGAAGTGTTTTCCATCTCAAGTTAGTGCAGCCGGTGTATCTTGTCTCACAACTCATGAAAATGCACGGCTCCTCTTTTAAGGTATTAATGAGGCTGTAACTCCCAACTGCTCCAGTCAATGAGCCTAAAGTTCTATCCTATCAGTTGTGATCACAGCGCGTCTGGGCCTCTACTGCTGTAAACGACACTGTGAGATTGAGTGAGCAAGAGAGGGAAAGGGGGACAGCCTGAGTGAGGGTGAGAAGAAATGTCTGCATAGATTCACGCTTGTATATAACGTATGTTGCACCTATATATATGTGTGTGTGTGTGTGTGTGTGCACGCTTGAGTGCAGTGCACGGATGTGTGCATGTGTCCGTCAGATTGCGTGGGTACGTCTAATTACAGATCAACCTCGGGTGGTGATCCCCAGCTGGGACACACGCTGAGTAACCTGATGCCGTCCTGCACGAGGACGGCTTTGGCCCCGTCTCAGCACCAACGCCGAGCTCTTTCTCCCGAGTGGGCGGAGCCTCATCAGTCACATGTTTGCCTGCATTGTCTCCAGTGTAATAGAGCCGTGGTGCCCAGCCTTCTTTGCCTCGCGGACCCGTTTCATGTTAGACAGTACACTCTTAGACTGGACCGGTCTCGAAGGTGTGGCTAACATCGACAGCCGATTGTGTCCGTTTTCGTCTCCTCAGTCCGGAGGACCTGCTGCATTTCTTTTTCTGCAGCCCATTTCTTCGATTTGCTTGGCCTTGTTTGCATGTCAGAGGTGTGGCTGTTTGGCTGCAACTCTTCCTCTCTGGACAGTGGGTGGGTGTACCTGGACTCACTGGTTTCTGCCAGTTCCCAGATGATGGCACAGCCGGCCTGCTTTGAAACCCTTGTCTAGGAGGGACCCGGTAGAACCATCTCGCACAAATCCCTCTTCCACAACCTCACCTTGGAGTCTGGCTGTTACTCAACTATTGATTTTGCTTTGATTTAGTGTTTTCTTCTGATTGCTCACTTTGCCTTTCGTAAATTGGCAAAAAATAAACAACTAATGGTAATTGTGATAGTTTAAAGAACTTTTGAACACCCGCGTAAAGACTTTGCACCGTGTTGTTTATCCAATTTGCCTTAATCGCTCTCTCGCTCACTTTAAATTCATATGCTTTTCCTTTCTTCAGGTGTGCTCTTCTACTGCATCTACCCCACCAAGGGTCACGCCCGCTGCCTGCAAATAGCTCTGAAGGGCCGGGCAGACGTCAACAACGTTTCGGCGCAGGGAACTCACGTCTTCCAGTCAATGTGTGAAAAAGCCCAGGAGTGCAGCCCGATGTGTCTCATCGTGCTTGTTGCAGGTGCAGATCCTAACGCAACAAATCAGGTAAAAACAATAGGATATGGAGTTACAGCGAGGCATGATGGGAACTGAGGCAATGTTCTCAGCTCAGATGTTCTTTGCCTCAGACCTCCTGAGAACTCCCTCTTTCTCGCCAGAAAACGGGTGTCACGGCGCTGATGGAGGCGGCCAAGGCGGGCTCCCTGCGGCTCCTTAAAGCCATTCTCAGGAAAGGGGGAAACCCCAACGCTCTGGATCGAAGACTCCTCACAGCGGTGCACTATGCCGCCATGGGGGGCTTTTTAGAGGTGTGGTGACCTTTTTACCATCAAAATGACTAAACCATAATAGATTAATCATAATGATTATTAAAACAACAATATGTGTAGCGGAACCAAAAAATATCAAATTAAAGCTGCGAGCAGTAATGAGCGGAGGTCACCCCCCTTACTCTGCCCACTCAGACCAGGAGCGCTGCTACGCCATTCCATCAAACGCGACGCTCTTGGTGGCTTCACTTCACAACGGTTTTTAAATCGGACCGACAAAATTAGAAGTGGATCCAAAAAAGATCCCATGAGGAGTATGGATATATAATATCATAGCAAGTTATAATAAAAAATCTCAAAAGTTATCAAATCTGCGCTAAAGAGACATTTTGTAAAATAAAAATTGAGATCCCCTGCACAGCTCTTAAAACGATATGTTACATGTGATCTCACGTTCGCCCCAACCAGAGTCAGCAGACTATTCCTTTACGTGCTGGGTTATAAAACCCAACAGAGAATTGACGTGTGGTTTCACATAAGTTCTCCCTTTTTAAAAATAAAAATGATATTTTTTACCATTCAAACCATGGTTCCAAGATATCACCGTAAGTCTCCATGTAATGAATAATAAACATGTACAGCGGCTCTTTTGAACATTTGTAGGTGGTGCTATTCAAGCAATTCACCTCATCAAAGCCAGTATTGCGTTTGCATCCTCTTGTTTCTGAGCATTGTAAACCACTGAACAATCCGCTTCATCTCTCCTGGCGAAGGACGAGTTGCCACGGCAACAGTGTTTCACAGTCGGGCGTTTCGGTTCGCTCTCTGTCCTACGTGAGCTGGATCCAATGATGCATCAAAACCGAGTTGTCAAGGATTGGACCCAACGATTGGTGGAGGAGTTTTTCACAAAATCAAAAATGGCAGAAAATAATTAGAGGCGGAGCTTAAGGGAGGCCTTTCTGTAGAAATAGAGACGGACAGTCGAGTTTCAAGTAAGTCGGACGTACTATGTGAGGGGCGTCGCCCGTCCAACTTCTAAGGCTGGAAATCATTTTTATTGAACCTCTATCAGACCAAGTTTGGCCAGGCTTGTTTTTGGGGGATGGCATACACCAAAAATATGCACCTGATGTTTAGAAATAAAAAGCAGAACGTTCAATAGGTCTGATTCTAGTAGAAGTCTCCCCAGCTGTCTAAGCTCAGGCCCTAACTCCGATTTCAGGAGGCACTGTTGGTATCGGTGGGATCTTCGATGATGGTTCTGTTGTTGAGGTTCTGCTCCGTGGTGTCGTTTGCCTTCCAGTTGATTCAGGTGCTGTCGGCACACTCAGCAGACATGGGGGTGATGAACCAGGAGAACTGCACGGCCCTCCACTACGCCGCCGCCACGGGCAACGCTGGCTGCTGCAGGTTCCTGGCCCAGAGAGGTGATGTGGCTCTTTCTCACTTCTGTGGTAACTTCTCCTGATTAGTCTCAGGGTCAAGACGAGGTCTTTATCATTGTAGCTAAATCTCCGTTGAGAGACCTGCTGAGTCATGGAACACCAACATCGTCCTCGTTTGCAGCTGCAACCACAATTATCTGATTCTACCATTTGTTGATGTTTTTCCTGGAACTGTGATTGATGTTCAGGTTGTAACCCCAAACTGAAGAACCTGGATGGTTTGCTGCCGCGTCAGATTGCCAGAGACGCTGGTCACAAAGCAGCAGCCAAGGAGCTGAGGAAGGCGGAGCGGCAGCAGGGGAAAGGCAGCAAATCCAACAGCGTAGGCCTCACGTCAGATGTTTGGGCCCTGAACCTCCACGACTGGACTCACGAGTACGAGGCTGAATTGCACCAAGCCTTTGGCAGCAGCTCGGCCTCCGTTACCACCGACGTGTTTATCTCAGTGCTGGAAATTCTGAAAGCTCCAGTTGGACCAGAGCAGCTCAAGACGGTGATCTCAGCACACGAGGGAAAAGAGGGCTGCGTCAACATTAATGACTTCATCAAAGGTGTCAAGTACATCAAGAAACCATTCCTCCACTCCTCCTATATGCCGAAAAAGAAAAAGGGAGAGAAAAAAGGAAAAGGAGGCAAGAAGAAGGGTAAATTTGACCTCCCCTTGCCCATTTGCACCCTCCCACCGGAGCTCATGCCCCGGCGGGCGGACGGAGGTCCACCCCACTTCATGATCAAGACATACTTCAACTGCTCGGACACCCGCCGGTTCGACCGCGATCATCCGCCACAGCATCCCATCATGAATGACTCAGGATGGTATTTGGAAAAGCCAGAGGACGTCTACGCCAACATCAGCTACTGTGTGAAGAGCGGAGACCTGGAGTCTCTGGACCTCGCTCTCAATCAAGGGGTTCCTGTGGATGTCCAAGACCAGTTCTACAAGACCCCGCTCATGGGGGCCTGCTGCTCCGGCAACTACGAGGTGGCTCAGTACCTCCTCAGTCGGGGGTAAGAAACATCTGGCTTCCTTATTTACTTCTTTACTTTAGACTTTGGCACCAAAGACTGAAGCAATTTGTGAGGATTATTGGAGTAAAGTGAAACGGATCATCGACAATGTGAAGCTTTACTCCATATTTAATAGTAACAAGTAGTGACCTTGTGGATCAACGACTCCCTTTGGCTTCACTGAGCCTCAAAACTAGTCCTTTTTCTTGTGTCCACGCGTTCCTGCTGCCCATAAAGAATTAATATGCAGGTTTCAAGTTATTACCCTGAAGATAATTTATGAGATATTGGCAAGATCCCAGAACACTCAGTCAATGAGAACCTCCAATGTCAGTGAACAAGCGCTGTATCCATTTACATCACAGCCAATCACAATAATGCAGACAATGCCTTCTATCAGTGGCAAACACACTGCGCCGGCTTCACAATAGCCCTGTTTTTGACACTAGTTTTGTACCACAGGTCCTCTTTTGTTAGCAAGCAGTGATTTTCCAAAAAGTTTGTTAAACGCTACAACAACACGAGGCACTATGGTTACTTGGAAATCTAATATTTGAAATGAATCACAAGCTCAAGGATATGAAGGAGAATCTTACCTGATGAGTACGTTTGGTTCTGGGATCCGCCGTACTGTCGGTGTGCGGCCGGCCAACGCTCTTTGTCTTGCAGGGCGGATGTGAATGTGTGTGACCAGTTCTTCTGGACGCCCCTCCACCACGCCGCTCGCGCTGGCCACGTGGAACTCGTTGAACTTCTGGTGGCGGCCGGGGCCTCCATCGAGGCCCGGGCCCTCGGCGGAGGGACGCCCCTCATCAGAGCCATCGAGAGCTCTCGACCCTCCTGTGTGGACTTCCTCATAAAGGCCGGCGCCAGTGTCACCGCAGAGAACAAGAAAGGTTTGACTGGAATACGTTCATTTAAAACTCCAACACCTGTTGAAATGAACCCAGGGACCAGGACAGGGACCAGGACAGGGACCAGGACAGGGACCAGGACAGGGACACACGTTTGAACTGTTGTGCATTTTGAGGAAGCAACATATGAAATAGGAGCGTTAGATTTGGTTTAAATACACACTATGTAGTCATAATACCTTCTTTACATGTCCGTATTTTATTTCCCTTCAGAACAAAATTGCCTCGACATCGCCAGAGCTTTTGCGGACTCAAGGATAATTGACTTGGTCAAAGACAAGATGGACTCCCTGCCCAAAGCAAAGGAGGCGGCGAAGGGAAAGGGGGCCACGGCTCAAAAGGCTAAACCTGCTCGGGAAAAGGTACCCAAGTAACTCCAATAAAATCTCTGCTACCAACTGTGGCTTCAACCCTTTCCTGTTTCCTGTAAATTAACATTTTTACTCTGTTCTTAATTATTTGTCCACAAAACCCATTCATGCTCATTGACAAAAAGCACATGTCAATCACCATGGTCACATGACAAGCTGGGATTAGAAAGTGAAATCTAACTAACTTTTCAATGAAGGTAATCTGCCTTTTTCGTCTGCGTACTCGCCCTCCTTCAGCTTGACAAACGGAAACCTGCCACTAAATAAAAGACTTTAAGGAGCAAACCTTCCCAGATGTGTTGGTAACACCTGGAGCGTTTCAATCGGACAAACTGATGTGATTGTGTCATTAGCCGGTGATGCTGTACAGGTTCCTGATGAATATTTACAGTTTATATGGCTTGCATGGAGCGATTCGGGGGGGGGAGTGAGTCACATAAAGTACCCCAGGTACAATAAGGAAAGGATCATTTTTAAAATCATAACCAAGAAAAGCACATAAGTCCACTTCCTGTGTCTGCTCCTGCAAAAAAAGAAGAAGACCTTTATAAAGGAATTACCGAAATCCCCCTTATTTCTACAAGAAACTGATCCGCCTTGGAACTCATGAGAAGTCTGTTTGCTGTGAATATCACATGCAGCCACAAGTCAAAAACGAGATGCTTTTCATTGCAACGTAACACTCACATGTGCCCTTGAACCTGTGAAACGAATCACTGAGTTGGTAACAAATCGGATCCTGAAAATGAGACGGACACAAATGTAAAATATGATTTTCATGAAAATGATCTTGAATGAATCTTTAACCTCTAGTCGGTCGTTGTAAGTTTCTTGAGGCTCTGGTCCTCTGGAATTCACCTTTTTATACGTTGACGTCCGTTTTAAAACATGGTCTCCATATGGGGACAAACGCCATCACACATGAATACAACACATTGAACGCGCAACACTGCAGTCTTACCCAGTTCCCTTAATTACGGTAGGCTTTAGGGCCCCCACTATGAATATGTATTCAAACCCCATTTCAGAAGAAATGTATTGTAAAAAGGTTAAACCAATTCTTCAGCCGTCATCATTTCCTCTCCCTCATATTGTCTTCACAGCTTAATTGATTCCTGCGTTAGACAAATATGATCGGGTTTCAGAGTTCTCATCCCAAAACGATACTCCTACTGTTCACTGGATACCAACAACAGCTTGAACATAGAAGGGACGCTGGTTTGGTGGTAAAGATGGACCAGAGGTGGGGAAAGACCTGTGGAATATGTCGTCCTGTGAGTAGAGGTCTGTTGTATGTTGAATTATTGGCTCCGGACAACTAGAGTTGCATCTGAACCCTTCCAGCCCCAACACCTGAAGGCCTTTCCTTTGTAGTAACTTCACAGAGTACTCGGTTAAAATAATCTTGATGTCCCCCCTACAGGACGTTATCGCAGAAACCTCGGCGCACGCGGAGCCACCGGCAGCCGCTCGTCTTCGGAGGGATTCCAGCAGCGTCCCGCTGCTAAACACCAGGATTACGAGCAGGAGAACCAACGCAGTGGATATCGCCTTTGTGCCGAAAACGGTAGGGCTCATCCCCTCTCACTGTAGGGGACTCGAACACAATCGCGTCTCCCACTCAGCGCTCACATTCCCTTCCAGCTGCATGACAATGATCATCAGAATCATTTCAAGCAGTCACAGCGTCTGGCGTGTCTCAGGTTTGGGGGAAGCCGCCCACCACCAGCCAGCTGATGTCCAAGATGGAGAGACGGAAGGAGCTCGTGTCCCCGGAGGTGGACTTTGACGACTTCATGATGCCTTTCAGCCAGAACATAGAGAAGCTGCAGCCGGCAACAACCGCGGACAAGACCCCGAGGAGGTCCGGCACCAAGAAATACTCTCCTCACACTCTGTCTGTTACCTGAGCCGACGGGCCGCCTGCGTCAATCACAGACGTTTGATTCACCGCGAATATCTATTGATCATCACGGCTGTTTGTCCGCATCATGTTGCTAAACGTCGTCGGTATCAGAAGAACGTCAATAACTGTTGTTAAAGGACTTGTCATTTCCTCACAATAATCTGTTTTCATTAGGACACAACAAATCGTATTTTTGGAGCCCATTCAGTAGTGTTCAGTATACCCACAATGCTTAGCAGATACTGTTTGTACGCGAGGAGAACACATATATGTACATACTGTATATGATTTAATACACTGGAACTGATTCAGCACGGTTAAAGTTAGACAGTTGGCGCTGATATACGGTTATCTATGTAGCGATGTAGGAGGAGGACTGGTTACGCATCCCAGAGACATAGCACCCTCGCTACAGCCCCCCTGCAAGTAGACCACCTCGCCTGAGAGGAGGAGGAGGCCGACGCAGCCTTCCGTCTTTGTGTCTGACTGGAACATTGTTTGTAGTGAAACGCACACTTAGACAAACGCTGCAGTCACACAAAGGAAACCGTGGACAAGTCCTCGCTTCCCAATGCGGCTCCTCCAGTTTAAACCGTTGCATTTGATTTTGCGACTGCAGAAACATCCCGGTGCAGCCACCGCGCTGCGCTGTTTGCTCGTTGTAGCGTTTGCAGAAGGGCTGGTCGCTTATTGAGCGGAGGAAGATACAACTTGCTGTTTGCAAAGCCGTGGCCTCCTCTGATGTTGGCCACTCCAAACGCTTTGAAAAGAGCACACTGAAGATAAAGAATTGACAAAGTCCTCCATGTGTTATCGCTGCCTTGATGAGTGGATGACATAGTGGGGGGGCGGCTTCATGGAGCCCAACAGTCTTCTCATTTGTATTCGTTGGAGGACCAAAGCAGGAATCCTCTGAGGCAGCAGACACGTGTGTTAAATGTCGCATTGACATCGCACACTCCCATCAGCACCAACACATCAGCACGTCAGATTGCACCTCCTCAGGGTCCCCGGGGACGCAGTTATACAACAGAAACACAGGCTGAGAGAAACGTTCGTAACGAGGGAGGGAGAGCTCGCGAGGGGGGCGCGGGGGGAGGGTGGGGGTGGTGGTGGTAGGAGAGGGATGGAGCGTGACTCAGAAGACGGGGAGAGGGCGAAGGTGTGGGCGGGAGCAGAAGACGAGGGCTTTTCTAGCACAATGAGTGGCACACGGGGGAGTTACAGAGCTGCTGGCTTCTCATCGCCGGCCGTGACGCAGTGTCTGTCGGGGGGGGGGGCGCATGTGCGTGCACCGAGGGGCACCAACGCGTCTATTTATGAAGTGTATATAGATGTATATGTCTGTGAGTTCTTATTTTATTCATGACGTGTCATTTACGGCCCCACACGGGGACCAACATCGGTTTCTTTCAGACCCCCCCGTCCCCCCGTCCCTCCCCCAGTAGCATCACTCTGAGCTCAGATGAGTGTGGGTTGCTGCCAACAGCACTGCAGTCTCCCAGCTCTCGTCCTGCTTACTCAGCACTCCAGGCCTTAACAACCCACTGGGACACACACACACGCACACACATCCCATTACAGTAAGCTCTCACTACACTCTGGGGTGGCGTTTATTACGTTAAGCATGCGCTGTGATGTGCTCACACATGCTGTATTCACGTGAGCACAGACAGACGGACGCTGGTCATCTACACATCCATTCCATCACACAAACACTGAGATACACACACACACACACACACGTACTTACCAATCTGACTTTATAGTTTAGACCCGTCTATCTAATAGGATTTGCCAATATTTCAAAAAGCTTATGGCTCAATTACTAGATATCAATACAAATAGCATGTGTTCTGGTACTTTTATACAGATGTACAGTGAAGGTGTGCGTTTGAGCACATACTACATGTCCAGATTGTCACACTAAGCACAAAGTAAACTGCTCTTGGAAGTATACCACAGTTTGTTAACTTCCACTAATCATGTCTATGAGCTAGAAACAATAACCTGTTGCGATGCAACATTACAGAATGAGGAATGCGTTGCGTCGGCAGACACCACGTTTATACAACACATGTGTGCTACGGGTTAAACCATCTTTGAGTGTGGGTGTGTGTTGGTGTCAGTAAACAACAAAACAAAGAGGGAAACTTAAAGAGCTGCAGATGGTAACCGCCGCAGTAACACTCGAGCACAAAGAACTGAGATACGGACTTGCTCCATTAACAGAGAAGGTTCTCAGGTCTCACCCTCGGTGAACGATCCAAACCAACCATAACAAAACCACACTACCAGCAGAATGCCATCAAAATACACAGTAATCACTGCACGGCATAGAATGGGAGGAAGTGACTCTCACAACGCATTAAAAAAAACATTTGATTGTTGTAGCAGTTTCATGTAGGAATCATTGTTGAAAAGAAATAGTTGCTAGAAAACTGCTCACAACTTGATCTGTGGATTTAGGGACTTTATACGTAACAAGTTACGTATATCACACTATCGCAATATCTCAAGTATGATTTCTACAATTCCTCTGAAGGACGATATATTATCTGCCGACACTACTTCTTATGTGTTTGTAATATTTGGTATTCATAATTTAATATTTAGTAGTACTAACACGTTCCCCTAACCTTCATGACAGAAGTGCAAAAATCATCATTATCTGAATATAATGCAGTCAAGTTCAATAGCACTGCAAACTGCAAGAATAATTCATGTTAATATAGTTAATATTCATCCTATTGTTAGATGAACAAATTTGGCAGTGTCCATCCAAATACGTAGATACAGAGTGAATTTGAATTCAATGTATTTAGTTAATGATTCTGCATAGTACAGCAGATGTCCATAAATTAAAGGTTAGCTGATACTGACTACATGCAGTATCCTCCATCCATTTCCTGTCATTTCATGGTGCGATGGAGTCGGTGCTCACCCACCAGCTGTAAACACTGTAGCAGAGCACTGAAAATGCTGCGTCGGGAGAAACAATGGCGCTGTTGCACAGATCCTGGTTCATCATTCATTATTGATGAGGGACTTATGTTTCACACAAACGTGGCTATATGTAACATAACAGGGCCTCAAGTGTGTGTTTGGTACCTGCGCAGCATTACTGAGTGAGCGAACGTACTTGTGTGTGTTATTGTGTTGCAGTGATTCATCAGTTCAGCCGTAGCATTGCATAGATCTCTTCAGCTTTCCAAGCTATAGATTCCAATTTGCTGCAGGCCAGGGACCTTTATTATGAGGATATTGATTTGAATTTCATAGTGAGATCAATGATGCTGGGTAGCAAACAGAGCACTGGATCTTGGATAAACACACAAAATCCTGGGACAAAAAAAGACAAAAACAGATGGAATAAATATCTGGCAGGGGTGATTGAAGCAGCTACAGCATCACACTGATCAGTTTTTAGTTGATTTCTACCAAAGAAAGCATCATTATTCTTAGTATAATAAATGCACTTATAGTTTTCCAACTTATTTTTCCCTGTTGCTAAACAAACCTGTGACTGTAATGTGATTATGACTGCAATGTGACTGTAATGTTACTGTAATGTCACTGCATTGTGACTGTAACGTGATTCAAATGTATTCAAATCCATTCAAATGTATAGTATTTGAGCATCTTTTAACTCTTTATTTCTAAATTTTACAATCCAGAACTTTAATGTTATGTTTCACTCCCAACAGTCTCATCAGCATCATTTCCACCTCCAGCTGTAAAAGCTCTTGAAATCCATTGCAGGGTAACTAACAAGCACCAAATGAGGCCCAGCGAGCAGCTAGCCTGACGGATAAGGGTTCCTCAAAGGTGTGTAGAGACCAAACCAGAGCGAATATTACACTCAAGTGGTCAGAGAGATGACTACAAATGAATGCTAAGGCTGCTCTGTTTCTGCTACATGTCTAAATGCTAACATGTTCACCCACTCACTTGATTAGGCGGTCGTGTCAGTGTTGTGTGCTCAGTAAATCCAAAATGAATTCATCCAGGTTTAATCTAGTATTCCCTTTGTGTTGTCACGTGTTATTACCAGGCTTCCTATAAGGGTCAATAATGTCCTCAACTGGACAGAAATGTACAGAAGTTTACAGTCTGTGTGTAATTAACAGAAGAGAAGCCTTCACAGGTTTACATTTGGCTCTGTTTTATACTGCAGTATCATCTGCAACACCCCCCCCCCCTCAAACTGACTCCCTCAGTCCCTCTTTCACACTCTCACACACACATTGCCTGTTGATTAAGTTCTCCTCAGCGGCCAATCGCTCAGCAGTACGACATTTTAATCAAACTTCAACCAGGAAACAGTCATCCAATATGGGTGTTATATGCTGTATACGGGAGGCGTTGTCAGCAGGGCTTTCTGATGAGCTTATAAATAATACAGATGATGCTTCTAAAAAGACGGGGAAAAGAAGGAAGAATTCCTCCTGCCACTCAACACATGGCGGGCGCCAACTTGTAGCTTTCAGTATAAGTAGTAATTCTAACATAATCATATTCAAATCTGTTTCAGAACAGCATCCTTAGTGACAAATGTGATGACCTTACTTCTCATTGGCATTCTTTACCTTCAAGCTCTGTACATTCCATCTATCAGTGCCACCGTATTCTCTGACGATGCTGAATCCACAACTGCAGTTCGCTAAAGCCAGAAAAGCTGCAAAGAAAAGATGTACGCTGAACACTGGACGCTCGTGGATATTCGTGTGTTGCCAATGTTATCGTGGATGCCTGTCGTGAATGATGCGTGTGAAGATGGAGACATGCTGCAGGGCGAGGACCAGTATGTCGGTTTGCTCCCCGACACTCCCCAGGAACCTACGCCAGGATCCTGTTTGTGGACTTCAGCTCTGCTTTTAACACTATCATCCCGTCTCTGCTGCAGGACAAACTCTCCCAGCTGCACGTGCCCGACTCCACCTGCAAGTGGATCACAGACTTCCTGTCTGACAGGAAGCAGCACGTGAAGCTGGGGAAACATGTCTCAGCCTCTCGGACCATCAGCACCGGTTCCCCCCAAGGCTGCGTTCTTTCCCCTCTGCTCTTCTCCCTGTACACCAACAGCTGCACCTCCAGCCACCAGTCCGTCAAGCTCCTGAAGTTTGCGGATGACACCACCCTCATTGGACTAATCTCTGGTGGGGACGAGTCCGCCTACAGGTGGGAGTCTGACCATCTGGTGTCGTGGTGCAGCCAGAACAACCTGGAGCTCAACGCTCTAAAGACAGTGGAGATGGTTGTGGATTTCCGGCGGGAACAGAGCCCCAACCTCCTCCATCACCCTGTGTGACTCCCCCTGTC